AGGTCGCTTGTGAGGAATCTGGTTTCTCATGAAGTACTAAAGAGCCAGCAAAGGGCTGGAGAGATGGCTCAGTGGTCTAAAGTACCTACTTGGAACAAACTTGGCAAAGCACAGGGACCGCGGTTCGATCCCCCAGCACCACATGCCAGCCAGCCCCGCCCCCTGGTGGGCTGAGCTGGCCACACACACACAATAAATAAATGTAATAAATAATTAAAAAAAAAAAAAAAAGATGCAGCCTCTGACAGGATGAAGAAAATGTGACTTGGTTCCAAATCCATGCCCCAGAAGTAATTCTCGCCGGGACAGAGGCCTAGAATGGTCTGCTGGACCTGATACTACTACGCAGTCTGCAGCCCAACTCCTACTTAGGGAATAAAAAAAGAAAACGCTGTCAAGGACTCAGCGTAATAGCAAAAGAGACATAACAATTCAAACTAATTCCTGCCCACTGCCACCCTGGATGGGAACTTTTCTGAAGCCCTCCACCAAAGATGGAAACAATAACTTTTTAACCACAAAGAAGACCAAGGAAAAACCAAATCCGACCAGAATTTTCTCTGATCCAATAAATGTTCAAGTACTGAATGATTCTTAAACGGCCTCCAATCTTTGCCATCCCCAGCAAAAATTTCAGAAAACCTTAAGTATAGCCCACCCTTCTGCCAGCTTACTGGAAATGCTAGAGAAAGATGTGTGTGGGAAAGGGTTCTCTCCCTCACTTAAACAGTCCCAGGTATATGCTGGCACTCCCCATGCCCCCTGAATCACGAATGAGGCAAGACTTCAGGCAATCAAAACGCCTGTACCAGTGACTCACGACCCACCCCGAGCCGGTCGGACAGAAGCTGCCACAAGCTCACTCCTCCATAGTCTCTTAGCCTCACCCCTCTGCCATCTGCAGAGAAGAGATGCCGGAACATCTGGGAAGTCCACCATCCAATGTCCAAAAGTGCTGCAGACCCACGCAAAGGGAGAAACTCCAAGGCTAGGGGCAAAGTTGACTCTAGCAGCCCTAACCTTCCTGCAAGGCCAGCTGTTCCCAGCCCTGGAGCGTGTGGCGGGACCGCTGGGACACACCCAGTTCTCGGCAGTGCGGCCCCGGCGCGGACACCCGAAGCCCGACAGCCCGGGACGGCAGCCACGTGGACATCCCCTCCCCGCCCCCACGTGGATCCGCGGCCCTGCCCCCCAGCCCAACCCACGTGGGCGCCCGGCCGCCTGGAGGGGGAGGGGAGCCGGACAAGTTCTCCCGGGAAGATCGCCCCCCCACACCCACGTGCTCCGAAGCGAGGACTGCGGCGCCGGCTGGCGGAGTTCTCCTCGGCATCCTTGAAGCGAGGTCCCAGCCTTCGACCCCTGCTCCGAGCCTCTCAGCGCCTCCGCCAGTTGCAGGCCCCGTTTCCGCCCCAGCTCTGCCCCTCAGTGTTCCCAGAAAATCCCCGCACGCACCCTGCCTCCGCCGCCCGACCCGAATACGCAGCTCTGTCTGCTCCGCCAGCCCTGACTCCTGCTGCCAGCCGGCACCAACTCCCGGGCGCTTCCTCCCTTTCCCGCGGCGTCCACGTGTCACCGCCCGGCGCACGCCGCTCTGCTGCCAGACGCGGGCCGCCGGCCAGGCTCTCACCTGTTCACCGCCGCTAAAGGCGCCCACGGTCCCATGCGGCGCTTGGCTCCAACTTCCCCAGCCGCTGCCGCGGACTCCACCACCGGGATCAGGCCCGGAGCCGCCACTTGCAGGTGGCGCGACTCTGTCTCTGCGTCCCCGGCGTGCCGCCATCTTGGCCCCTGAACACCCAAGCTGCTCTGTCCGCCGGCGCCGCCTCGACCGGCAGAGTGCGGGAAAAGAACTACAACTCCCGAAGGCCACCGCGAAAGTACGAATCCCAGAAGGCCGTGCGGCGAGACCCAAGGCTCAACAGGCTTTGGACGAGCATTTCTGGGAGTTGTAGTTGGTCGGTGTTCACTGAGCTGGTGTCGCTCCGGCTGGACTGAGCGCGGTAGAAGACCGAGGCCGCAAATGCGCAGTAATGAGAAGAGAGTTCATGTATGTGTATTGTTATTGTGGTTAATATGTCCTGCCTTTGGAGCGCCCTTTGCCGGCATTCCCTTCACCCGATCCAAAAGGGCCTCCGTGGAAATGCCGTCCCCTGGTGAACACCTGCGCTCGGGCGGATTCTCGCCGACCCTGACCGCGCTGCTGTTGAACGCTGCCCCTCGCAAACTAACCCAGGGACTCTGTACACCTGTATCCCCTTTTTCAGAGACAAGGTCTCGCTAAATTGTCTAGGCAGGACTTGGACTTGGGGATCTTCCTGCTTCAGCCTTTCCAAATACTAGAACTACATGAATGTGCCACTTTGCCCAGCTTCAAATTTATTCCTAAAATAGCGAAATCTCTGCTCTTCCTCTGCTGTTAAATAGAAATCTGCATTGTATTACCAAGTTTAGTTTCTGCCCCAGATCTTCTGATTGTCATACAGCTATCGTAAAATGGGTTTGCTCGCACTTGTTAGCTCTAGCACTATGAGGGGCTGGGGTAGAAGGGTGGAAATTGTAGCTCAGCGTGGGCAAGTTAGAAGTACCCTGTCTGAAAATACGAAGTAGGTTGGGGATGTAGCTCAGTGCGAAATCCCTGAGTTCAATCTCCTGTACAGGGGAGAGAGGACCCCCATACTGAGGCTGGGAAGCCTGGGCAATTTAGTGATTTAGGGAGACCCTGTCTCAAAAGCAAAAACAAACTAAAATAAATAACCACCCGGCATGGTGGTGCAGGCCTGTAAGCCCAGCATTCTAGACAATAGCCTTGAGTTCAAGGCCAGCCTGGGCTATGTGATAGACCCTGTCTCCAAAAGCAAAATACAAAACAACTAAAAAAATCGGAAACCCCAGACTCGGAGGCTGAGGCAGGAAACTCGTTTTGAGTTCAAAGCCAGCCTGGGATACAGAGTGAGCTCAAGGCCAGCCTGGACTGCATAGTGAGATCCTGTCTCAAAAAAAAAGGGGCTGGGGAGATGGCTCAGGAGCTGGGGAGATGGCTCAGTGGAATAAGCACTTCCCTGGCAAGGGCAAGGGCCTGAGTTCAATCCCCCGTTCTGCAAAAAAAAAAAAACAGAAACAGCAAATCCTGAGGGCATTTCACTGACCTTCTCAGACCAAAAAGCTACAACTCTAGAATGTCAGGGCTTATAGATCAGTGGTAGAGCACTAGTCTGGCACCAGGTGCCCGGAACTGGCCAGTTGGGAGATGGGGCAGGTTCATTCTGTTTACATGGTTCTCTGACTTGATTTTTTTCATGTTGGTCCAAAGATTTCCTCAATTCTTAGTAGACACAAGTTCCATTATGTGAATATATTATTATTTAGATATTCAGGGCTGGGGATATAGGTCAGCAACACAATGCTTGCCTGGCAAGCATGAGGTCGTGATTTAGATTCCTGATACCAAGGCTGGCAAGATAGCTCAGGGGTCTAAAGTGCTTGCTTAGGCAAGCTTAGGCAAAGTGCAGGGACCAAAGCTTTTAGCTCAGGGATTCCCCAAGCACCACATGCTGTGCCAGCCCCACCCAGGCTGAGCCAGCCACATACACACACAAAAAGATTATAGATTCCTGATACCAAAAAAAAAAAAAAAAGGTATTTAAACTGTTTCCTGCATATGGTTAGATTTCTGGGCTTATGTGTAAACATAAGAATTATATAATTCTTATGCCTATTTTTAAAATATACTCTAATTTTTAAATGTTTTTTCATCATATTCTGTAGGGACTTAAAGTTCAACATATCAATACTTGATGAAAAATACCTGTTCCATGTTATGACTAAGATGTTTGATATTCAGACAGTGAGGTTAAGCTTAACAGCCTAGGTTGTATGGTAATAACAATAAGCTTCCCTTCTGGAGGGTTAACAGCCTAAGTTTGCAGACCAAAATTACAGAAAAAGGAGGGCCGCAAGGAAAGCCAACATTTTGGCCCTAGCCTTCCAAGGTCAATTAAGACTCAGGACATATGAGAACTTGTACTGTAACATCATGTAACTCTTGTAGTAACTCGTGTAGTGTCCCAAATTTTCTGATCAAGGAGATTATGGGACCAAAGAGGAAAGTGATCGATGATGTAGAGTGTGTCTAAGGAGAGTCACATGGAGAGAAAACATTCTCTCTGGCTTTCACAGAGAGCACATTGGCCAAGCAATGGCCGTGACTCATCCACATGGCTGACACTGACAAAGGATCTACAATCTGAGGTACGCGATCTCAGGATAAATGCTGAGGGGTTCTCACTGACCTTATCAGACCCAAAAGCTACAACTCTTGTTGCATAGGTC